ACAGGCGCTCGCATTCATGATACCGTAGACGGCCAATGCCTCGTCTAGTCTACTCCTAGCTTCCTACTCTGAAGAATCAAGCCAAAGGCAAAAGCGAAAGCAAAAGCAAGACATGATGACATAGCCTATCGTTGAAGAAAGGAACCGAACCTCTGCAGCTCATACCGACATCGCAAACTCTTGCCTCACCGCTCATCGAGGGGTTCACTTCCGCATTCAGAACGTGTGAAAAGCGAGGCATCCGGAGCATTCAGTGCGGGTTTGCAAAGGAAGAAAAAAAAAGGTATCATGTATTGTGACTTGGGACAAACAAGACCAAACACTTTGCGCCAGAGTAAGCCCACCCTTGCCGCAATTTTCCGCGGTGAGGTGCTCACCAGTCGGCATCAGAGTCCCTTGCCGTTAGAAACGCCATCCGCTCTCTATATCGTATTTCTCAATCCTGAGCGGTCAACGACCATCCTCATCTCCCTCGTGCCGCGTCCACCGGGAGGACTTCGTGTTCCCAACCGTCCGTGACTGAAAATCAACCACTTCTATCCCCCAAAGAAGTGTGAGGGGCTGCCTTTCCTAGTGATTAAGATGCCTCTTCGGTAATGCCCATGGAGGCCCATTAGGTCAGCCAGGACATCATAACTACATAATGATTGTCCGGACCGACAGAAAGATCAAGGATCCAAAGAAGAGATGCAAGCTTCCACGGCCTTGCAGCGTCAGAAAGCATCGTCTGGTGTCTGGCTTCCAACTCCAAATCTTGCGTTAGCCCGAAAGCCATGCTGTGACTGACTCCGTAGTCTTGCGACGGCATGTGGTCGAAGCGAAGTATAGTCATAGGAAAGCTATGCACTGAACGCAGCTTTACTTCCCATTCGACGTCTGACCATTCGCTCGATCCGTCGGGCCATAGTGGCCGATGAGCTCTGAAGCCTCATTCACAACACTGAGCCCAGCTGGAGCAGAGCTGTCACTCCTCGTTCTGCCGTGGCCTCCCTCACTGCTCCTTCGCCGCTGATGGACCGCAGGCGGCCGGCTCATGCCCGATAGCCCGCTCCCTGACCGGCGACGCGTATCTGCCACGGCGTCTGGGACGGGAGAAGCGGCCAACTCCGGCACATATGGCGTCGAGTCGAGTTCTTGGAGTGGCGTCCGAGTACCCGCACTGCCGTGGTCGCTGCTTGCTTCGCTGGCGTTGCTCCAATGGCGAAGATGCGCGTAGGTTCCTTGTGAATCCGTGCTTCCGCGATGGAGTCCGACCCACGCGCTCGATCCCTGGCTTGCGCGCTGACTCCTGTCTGGCGCCACGTCGAAGTAGCCTCCTGTATATGCTGAGTCGTAGCTAGCGTGTCGGTCGGACCCTGACCCTTGCGGTACTGCCTGATAGTCACCACCGGACCCCGGCGTGCCGCGATATGGAGGTGTGAAGTCGGCAGTCGTATCGGAATCATATCTGCGGTGTGATGGCCGAGGAGACATCATGAGCGGGTCTATGCTCAAATCATCAACCTCTGATGGTGTTGGCTTGAACTCATACATCGAAGGGCGTGACTTAGCCCCTGAAGAGGTTCCCTTGTTGCTCGTTTCGACTGCCTGGACAACCTTGTTGAGGTGCCGAATGATGATCCACGCAGTCACCAGCACAATGATGAGCAGGCCAACTCCTCCAGCCACGATACCCGCGATTTGCCCCGAAGTCAATCCATCACTGTTGCCATCGCCGCTCGAGATAGGTTGCTCTTTTGGAACAGTGCTCGGATAGTACTTGAACACAACTTGGTCCGGGTCGCTCGCCCCTGTTGCTACTATTGGCGCCGTGGTAGGTCTTGAGGGAGTTAGAACAGCAGTTGCGGTTACAGTCGTGGTTATCGCCTGCGCGGCGTCATTCGTCGTTGTAATCGTCGTCGTCTCCGTGACAGTTGAGGGCTCCGTCGAGTAGCAAGCGCTTACGGCGCAGCCCAGTCCGTCTCGACAGCAGCCGTAGCTCAAGCTAGCTGGGCATAAGTAGTAACTCGCCGGACACGACTGAGAGTATATGACTCCAGACGCTGGAACGCAATTTGAGCCTCTTTGACACTGGTATCCTTCTGGGCAACAGCCGCCTGGGCAAAGTGTGTCAGCTCACGATTCCAAGACAGGTACTGGGAACCAAATCAACTCACCACCCAAAACCGTGTTACATTGATAATATCCAGGTTTTCCTGCGCAAGTCTGCGCTGCACTTGTGGTCGCATAGCAAGAATCCGTCGCGCATGCATAGCCTGAAGCGCAACACCCTCCATCCAAGCTTGACGGGCAAGCAGAGTATCCGGTCGCACAAGTCGTTGTGCCCCTTCGATTGAGGTCGTGAAAGACCGTGACGTGTGCCTTCTCAAGGCGGTGCACCCCATCTCGTCTCTTGAATTCCGCCCCCTCGACTGCCCTGACCAGTAAGTCAACCCCCAAGTACAGCACGCAAAGCGAGCAAGCTGTCGCCCTCATGGTGGTGGCGGTGATCGAATGAATAAGCACAATAGTTGAGCAGTGCAACTGGATTACGGGATTCGCCAATCATCTAAGATCCTTCGGATCAGCGAGCGTTTTGTCGAGAGTCTTGAGCGTGGTTAATCGAACGAAGGACAGCGCAAGGTTCTTGAGAGATCGGCGGCGGTGTAAGGAGTGTTTGGAAGATCTTTCGACTCGAGTAATTTGAAGAGCTGGCCAGGTCGTTTGTGAAGAGGGTAAGTTATGCTGGTGCCTTGAGGCGTGAGGAGGATCGAGATGACCCAACCGCAGGTGTGTCTCCCGGGGGCTGAGCGGGTGTGTACAGCACAGCACCGAACCACAAGCAGTCACACCCCACGATATAATAATCGGCGATCGGGGGCACAGCAGTAGGGCTGAGGGACGACGAAGACGGAGAAGTGATTGAATAAAGCGCGTGTCGTTCACTTGAAACCCCGTCGGCCGTATAGCTCGCGCTGGCAGCGTCAAGTTGGACTCGATACCGCGCGTGCGTGTCTGTCTTCTTTTCGCTAGGTATGATCGACCCGACAGCGGGTGGATGCAGATGAAGATGGAAGAGAAGAGGGCGATCATGGACTGTTTGGGAGGGGAATGGACGGATTCCTAGACTGCGGGCATGTGTGACGGGAGGGCCTTGGCTCGCAGCTGGCTCCACGGGGGCATCTCTGGGATGATGGGATTTCTAAAGTGGCTTTTTTGTCAGAGTGTCAGCACTCTGGATAACGGGCTTGCCCATAACAGGAGAAACGAGGGGTGATATTCTCCCAATGGGAAGTGCGTAAAGTGCAGTCCCAGCCTCTGGTAAGCCACGATAGCACCATGGAGGAATACCAAGGTGGAGGGGTATTTGAGAAATGGCACTTTGTCTGGTTGCTCTCGATCACCGCCACTGCTGCGAGTATGCTGGGCGCGACTGGTCTCAGACTCAGGGAGCGAATAGAAACGAAGCAGCTGACGACCTGGTCGGACATTGTATGCGGTGATGCGGCACGACAATGCCTGTCTTACCGTCCAGAGTGGGCATCGTGTGGTGAGAATGTCGAAGGCCACCAATAAGATGAAGGCGTGAGCTGCAAGTCAACGACAAGCAGCCAACAGGAGTGGCAGCTCGAAGGAAAACAGGCTGGGAAGCAAGCATGCAGAGCGGCGGCTCGTCGCTGGAAGAGCCCGGGACGTAGATGCGAGTGGGCAGCTTGTTGGCGATGCGCATATCTGGGATTGCTGTCTGCAATGTTTTCCGTCCTTGGTCGTCTTCGGGGGCTGTCTCCAAGAGAATGCGACACTGAACCAACACCAGCGCTTCCATAGCCAACGACAAACAGCATCTGACGATGGTTTTTACGTCCGCAGCGACGCGCATTCATACAGCTGCTTCTCTCCTGCGGCCCAGACTTCTCGAGACGGCATATGCAGACATCCCACAATATCTATTTGTGAAGATAAGATGTCCAGTGAGGCTAATCATCACTCGATGAAACCCACATGTCGTCGAAGCCCTGGCTAGACATGGCCTACACAATGGCCTTCATGGGCGGGCCAGCGTCTTTGAAGGAGCTAGTCAATATCCGAGCCACAAGGATGGCTGCATATCCCAGGAAACAGAAGCAAGACATCGATTTGGGGCCCCATGTTGATGCTTGCAGATTCCCCGTGTCTCACGAAACAACGGCACCCCGTGCGTCAACCGGGCCTACGAAGCAAGGCCAAGGCTGTGAGCGAGTCTGGTGAAGAAGACCTTCCATTGTAAACTTGCACTCAAGTCGAAGTTCTTTGATACACTCTTGTCTCGACTCTTGAAGGGCGAGCTGCGATCTCTCATGGCAAAGTGGCGGATGAAGTCGACGTTGTTTGGCACGGACCTCGCGTCTGGATGATGCAGAGTATGGGATGAAAAAAGAAAGTTGCAAACAAGCGAACCATCCACTCGGATCTAGTTTGGTCATCAGATGAAAACTTGAGAATTGAGAGGTGTGCTGTTGTTCGACCAGAAGCCTACCGAGTATTCAGAATGAAACCTAAGCGGACTCGCCAACTACCTGACGGCTTAAATCTAATGGCAGGAAGACTATCTGTATCTGGCTCGAGGAAACACTATGAAAACCGAGGCGGCGGATGAATGCCTGATGCTCGGTGAGCTTCTCTGAGCTATCGATGAAACTGAGAGATACTGAGATTCGGAATGGTGTTTTGTTTGCTCCTCGCGGCAACAAGATGCAGAAGGCAAGCTGCTTGGCTTGAGTTCTTCCAAGAAGGCACGCGCCCGACGGCAGAGTCTTGGTGCCGGAAGAGGTACGTACTTGTCGACTATTTATAAGTCACCTCAGGCACAACGGCATGGCAGCGGCAGCGGTGGAGAATGGAAGGAAAGAGGGAAAGCCCATGATTGCCAATCCCATGGACTACGGAGTATTGCCAGTGACCCAAGTCCCAACGGCAGGAATATAAACTGCGTGCCTGCCTACACTGGAGGTAGAAGGGGGAGAAGATCGGCGTGATCACCGATGGAAACGAGCGAGGAAGGCGTGGACACGGCGTGGGAGCGGCAGGCACACAGCAAAAGGTGCAACTTAACCGACTGTACCTTCCTCGATCTGGATAGTCTTTTGCCTGAGGCACACAGAGTGAGGTACGAAGTACTGATGAATGGACACCCAAAGAGCGGAAAGAGCAGACACGCCGCACAAATGCAGGTGCGGACTTCCCGTCCACGTGTGCTTCCCGTTTCCCGTGTCCTGCCCGTAGGTATCCAAAGGATTGCTCGCACTTTCCTCAAAGTTTGATCTTCGTACACCTGCAGTGTCCATTGGTTCGTTGATGTGTTGGTGGGAGGCAGCAAGAGCAGGAGCGAGTATGGGGCAACCGTGCCGTGCTTGCCTCCCATCACCAGTCTTCACGGTTCACCAGACTTCCATGCAGCCTTAGGCAGGACATGGTTGGATTCCCAGGACCTGCGGAATTGTAGATACTCTCGTCCTTGGGTAAGACAAATCTGGGAATAACACTTCTCCTTCCCTTACCTAACAAGGACCAAGTTCCAGCCCTTGGCGAGGAACGACGACTCCACAGCAATATCGACGGAAGAATGGCGAAAAAGAGGGCAGAACTTTTGCTCTTTGCTTAGTCCCAGCCCCCAATGCGATTGGACAGCGCGAGGGAAACACCGTCGGCGGGAACCTCTCCTTGTCAGTGGGCTCGTGGAGTCGAATCGTCCGCCTGAGGTGGGCTCTGGTCCCTTGAAGTTCCTTTATGACCCGCCGCCCAGTCCTCGTCTCCATTCACGCTGGATGCTCCCGCCGGTTGCCCGCAGCCCGACACTTCCTTCAAGAGTCCCCAGAATATCGACAGGACGCTCCGCTGATCAACCGCTACAAGTTCTGCTTTGGGAGACCTTCCCCGGATTCGTCTCATCTTTTGTCTTCGCTTCTGTCTTCGCTTCTGTCTTCCATCAGAAAGACAAGCCAAACTTTGCCCTGTGCTTGGTCTGTACCTCAGTGCCGTCAATACCTGGCAGGGCATGGGCAATGGCAACTATTTACGAATCCACGGGAGTCTCTAAGAATGCGATACTTTAGGTGCCAGCTTTCCCCAAGTCGCAGCCACCCGAGCAGCTCAAAGTACATGCTACTACCGTTCCTTTGGAGACTTACCTTGCAATCTACAAGATACATCTTTGTATAGCCCAAGTACGAGCCTCGACTTTGTGTTCTGTCCAGCTGAGGCAGACAAAACACCCAGAAAGATCGCCTTGACCGCTCAAGTCGCTTCCCTCACCGACAACCCCCTCATCCTGCCACTAACAAGCGTCGCAACCCGCACCCAGGATCCCGTCAGCCCGCCTCTCCTCCGTCACCTACCGCCTGGCACCAATCTCATCCTGCGCCATGTGGTAGCATTGGAGACACGAGGCCCGTCTAGGACTCTGGGTCTTACCCAACTGGCAAGGGGCTGGAAGCCATCGAGAACATCGTCACAACCACCTAGTCTGTGTCATCTCCAGACTCCAGGCACGCTACCCCATGGCTTGGACGGTGGTTGAGGGCTCGGAGAATGCGGGGAAGAAAACCTTCTTCATCACTTGGCGGCCTGCCTCTAGGATCATGGGTGTGTGTGGGTGTGTGTGGTTGTGTCTGCGTCTCAACCACAGCTAACCTCCCGAGCTAACATGGCGCTTGAGTCGTGTCGTCACAAGCGTGTGTCTGGTCGAATGCTTGCGTTCAGTGAGGAAGAGGCAAAAAGGAGCAGGACCATCGAGGACACATACAGAGCTTGGCACCCACGCATCCACGCACCCTCAGATCGTCCACCTGCATTCAGACCAACTGCCCTCGCTGATTGCCGTCAGGCGCTCGACATCCTACAAATGGCAATACTCGACAATGTCACAGCCCAAGTCCGACTAACAGGCTGCCAGCCAGTTCATGACCCCTTGCTACACAATAATCACGGCCCGCGGGAAATGAACCAAGCAGTGGCCATCTCGGTTCCGCTGGTAGACTGAAGGACGACACCGCGCGGCGGCGTGGCTCGATTGGTGGATAGGCCAACAAAGTCAAGTGACTCAATGCATTCTTTTCCAACCCAATTAATCAACGCAACCGCAGCCCTGGCGACACTACGGAGACAACCAGTCGTGCCAGTCCTGCCAGTCGTGCCAGTCTCCAATTACAGCACTGCCTTAGGCGGAGCTCAAGTCTGGCTGCCTGGCAAAGAATCAGAGTTCCGAGCCGTCTGAACGACTACGCCATTTAAACTTTGCCGGTTGCTGCAGGGTCCAAATCACAGGTACCGATGGTATTCGTCCACTGACAATCGAAGTTTGTGAGACCTGCAAGGGAGATGCGAACATCACCAGGCCTCAGGCAATAGTGGCAATGCAGATGGGCGACCATTTCGCATCAACAAGGAGGAATGACGTTTCTGGCTCGCTACCGGAAGGAATGCGGCAGAAGCCTGCAGAGCCGTTCACGAGCCGGAACAGTTGTGGTAGGTTCAGCGACTAGCCGGAGCTTAGAAGCAGCAGAAGCGTCTCCTTAGCTTCGTTTCTAGCTGGGATGACCGTATACGAACTTTGCAAAGAACGCTATTCCGCGCCACCTTCTCATTCTGTTCTATTTCTGCCCTATTCGGCTTGCGGTGGTTGACAAAGCACGCGCTTCTGGCAGCTGGCATCGGACATTGACACAATGGCAATCAAGTCCCGGGGGCGCGGCATGGCAGCTAGGTATGGCAGATGCCTTGCAGCAACAGGCCAGTCACCATGACGAAGTACCGGACGGAACATTTCATGAGCTGCGTCGGTTCCCTGAGTTCACAAGACCATGGAGAAGCAGAACTCGAAGAGCCCTCGAAGAGGGAAATCGGCAGCATTAGGGTCGACCCGAATCGTCACGGCACAAGATTGCACCTCGTCGTGTTCTGGCTGAGCTCGAGAGAGTACGGATACATGGACGCTACGAGACAGCGCCTCCCGAAGGCTCCCCTGTTCAGATGCCATCCCTCAAGAACACACACATTAACAAATAATTACCAACCAGCATCTACCCTGTCATGGGGCAGCCCCCCTTTACTCCAACATCCAGACAGGTCGCCGTACCTACATTGCTGTAATCCCATAGCTCTTCAGGCGTTGCTCTCGCTCACACCTCGCAGGGAAACCCTTCCTCACGGGGCTACCAGTGACCACACACACACACACACACACATACCCAGATAGAAAGAGAATCACCTTTACATCTGCCACCAACGGGGAACAAGCACAGACACCGGTGCACCACCATCGAGACTGGACTGGAGCCAACGGGCTGCAGACATGTCGACCGAGATTGTGACACCCATCTCCGCACCAAGAATCGCCGCTGTAACCCCGCAAATTTCTCCACCTTTCTGCTTCTAGCACATCTTAGTCTCCCAGGATCTCTTGGTCACGATGTGCGTGATGGCAGCGGTCTTGTCAGCATTGGGAAGGACGCCGCCATCGCCGGCTCTTGGGCTGCGGGCCTTGGGTACTCGCTCGGTACGCCAGCGCGACTTGGGATTCGACATTGACCTTGGTCCATTTTGGTGGCTTTTGGGGATGGGCAGGCTTTGTTGGAGAAAAAATCGCCAAAACGCCTGGCTGAACGAGCCTCTTTGCCCATTTGCCTCTTGAAGGTTCTCGCCGTCTCGGATTCTGCCTCCTTTCTTTCAGTGGTATTTGAGCTGGCTCGCACCCGACATCTCACTTGACTCGCACGAGTTCTCCTTCGACTCTTCTTCTCCCCTTTCTCCGCCCTCTCCAAGTTCCCCATATCTCGCCGTTCTGCTACAGTCTCCAGAGGCACCGTCTCCATTCCCCATCCCCCACGCCCTAAGAGAACGGACCAACAATACGCATTCATCTTCACCTCAGCACATCAGCCCCCGGCCCCTGGCCCTCCCAGCTTGTGGCCCCGTCGAAAAAGGGCGAGAACAGAACCCAGAAAGAGAGAAAAGCTTTCCTCGTTAAAGCCCGTTTACCCTCGGCACCAGACCGACAAATCGATTCTTAAACAGAAGGCAAGGTGTATTAGGCTGGAACAGAGTCAAGGGGGGAAAAAGAGACGAGGGAAATACCCACTACACAGACTTGGTCGACTTCCCCCAGTCCCCACGAGCTTCTCGATTCTACCTTATTCACCCCTCCATCCCATAAGGCACCACCAGCAAAACCAGCACCGCCTTGCGCCCGCTGGCCCCGACCGTCACCTTTTACTGCGGGACCCTACCCGACATCGTGAAAGCCTGTCTTCGTTCGTCTTCTAGGCCAAGTAGCCTCGGTCCACACACTCTTACCGCAGGCCTTCTCCCTTCTCTCCGTGCGTGATGTAGGTGTAGGGCAACTTCGTCCATATACCACATCTTTTGAGAGAAACACAACTCCGGCAATCTTGAAAACCGCCATGCCTGTGCGCGCCACAGGTTCCAGCTCTTGAGCATCATGTTACTGTATACTAAACTCGCCCCGCCAAAGGCTCCCAAGAGACGATCCAGATCAGGTGAGTTGATACCTAAACGCTCTGCTGTTTGCCTCCGCTTTGTTTCCTCCCGCCCCCAGCCAAGTAATCCTCGTTTGGGCCAATTCACTGCCCCGAATGCGCTTCGCTATTGCCGCTCGAATGGCTTCGTGATGCTGCCCCAGATCTCGCACCCTTTTATTCCGTCATGACGCACTTGCCTTTACTGGCCATATTTTGAGCCGATCTCTGACATGAACTCATTTGCCTCATGCAGGATGTACTTATTGGTGAGTCAACCCCTCCCTTCTCACTGTTTTGATCCGAGCTCCTTACTGACTTCGTTGAACAGCAAAGAAAAGGTACGAGCCTCCCCATTCGGAGAACCGATTGTCCTAGGATCGCGGCAGCAGCCCCTCCAAATAACCCATCAAACGGTTCTAACTGTGATTTTCTCGCCTGCAGAAAAAGAAATGCGACGAATCCCGCCCGCAGTGCTCTCGATGCGCCGAGCGTGGCCAGGAATGCTCTTACGAACCAGTCAAGCCTCGACAACGCAAGAAGCGTGATTCCATTGCCGGTTTCGGTTCTGACACAGCATCTTTCACGAGCGGAAGCGCCCTCATTCGACGATATTCAGCACCCGATGCGGCCATTAGACATTGGAAGGAGGAGGCTCTTGACGACGAAGACGATGGAGCGGTGGAGGAGGCCATTCTAGAGGAACCGGAAGACAGTGCCGACCCGCTGGCCTACGACTTCAAGAAGATGTTTGGTCTGCATCAGGACAAGGACGACGCTCCGCTGATCTCTCCGGTGGATTCTGTCGCTTTCAATCTTTCATTGGAAGATGCAGACGAGGAGATTATTCGCCGTCGCTCCGTGCAGCAGGGTGCAATTCAAAATCTTGCAGTCACACGAGCTCAGCGCCACCCGGACCTGGCCATGATAGCGCCTGTCCCAGTGGCATCGCCGCGTCTCGAGTTCCTGTTCCCGACGTTCTCCGAGTTCTCGGAACGGCCAAATCGTCGAGCGTTAGTTGATCACTTTACCAACGTCATGTCACACCTCATAGTCCTGCGAGAGACGGAAGCCGGAAACCCGTTCCAGCAACTTGTGCTGCCGCTGTGCCACCGGAGCAAGACCGTCACAAACGCTATCTACGCACTCGCGAGTGCGCATTTGGAGAACAGAGGCTGCGGTCACACGGAAGAAAAGGCGGTCTATTTCCACAACCAAGCCATCCAAGGCCTGGCTCGGTTGATTGAACTCGGCGGGGAAGCAAACAAGAACGAGCTTTTGGCCACGATCATGTTGCTCGTCTATTATGAAGTAGTAAGTTTTATTGCTTGCAACGTCTCGACCTCTTAACTAATTGATCTATAGCTCGTGCAACAAGGCCGGTCCAATATTGTTGATGGTCATCTCAAAGGTGCCATTGCAATTATGAGCGGTAGCAGTGACAACACCGACCCGACCACCGCTTTCCTCGAACGCGTAAGTTCCCTGCATCCCGGTCCGTGTAATGTTTGGCTGACCCTTTTGTCAGGCATTCCGTTTCTACGACGTTATTGCTGCGCTTTCCTTTGGCACAGCTCCCC